TTAGGCACAATCCTTTCCTTTTTATTATTTAAGACACCTCACTCCCTCCCTTTCCTACCCCTCCACCCTCCACCCCCAACCCTCCACATATATTTCTCTACTATCTACTCTCCTACTGCCTCCCTCTCTCTCTCTCCCCTCCCCTGCCCCTTTCCCTCTCCTCCCCTCTTCCTCCCACTTCCTCACCCTCCCTCCTCCCTCCTCTCACCACCACCTTCTCCCCTCTTCAGCTCCCCTGCCCCCTCCCCTTCCTCCTCCCTCTCCTCCCCCTCCCCTCCCCGCTCCCCTCCCTCCTGCATCACCCCTGCCATGTTTCTCAGCTTGAGTGAAATCCCAACACTACCCCCCTCATCCTAATCGATTTCTTAAGTCGCTCACTATATGGAAAAGGCCCACACAGCCCATCGCAGGGCTCCCCTGTCACCAACGGAATGCGCACAAGTCGGGCATGGGCGCTGATGAAGGCGCTGATGTGCATCCTGTACATGCCGGTGAGAACAAGGAGAGGAAGAGGAAGAGGAAGAGGAAGAGGAAGAGGAAGAGGAAGAGGAAGGGAGAAGAGGAAGGGAGAAGAGGGACGACAGGAGAAGTGGAGGAAGTGGGGAGGGGAAAGGGGAGGACAGGAAGCGGGAAGCTGGAAAACGCAGAGAAGACCAGGAGACTAGTGAGGAAGGAGTTGAGGAGGGAAGAAGGAATGAGAGAAGGGGGGGAACGGGTGAAGGAGAAGATTTTTGAATCGAGAGACACTGGAGGAGAAATGAGGCTTCCAGGGGGTTCAGTGAGGGAGCAAGAGGAAGGAGGAGGCGAGGAGAAGGGAAGGGAATGACTTTCATGCTGAAAGTTCCTCTGGCTGTTCATGGCGATCAACACGGGAAAATGGAAAGCTCCTCACTCTGAGGTGCGTCCTCCTCCCGCTTCTCCCTCATGCACTGAGAGTCCAGCACCAGGAACTCTGCAAAGGTTTCTCCTTGTTCGTCCTCGTGACTTCAGCATATGTTCTCCTCTCCACCATGTCAGGCTCCGATGGAGATGTTCTCTTGCGCCGCCCTGACCTCCTCCTCTCCTTCAGCTTCCAGGCTTACGGGATGCGACAAGCAAAGAGTCTGCCACACGTGACCATTCCCTCCCAAACTTTCATTACCCCTCTCGGCTCCCGGCTCCCGCCTGCATGTCCTCCACCTGTGCTGACATGCTGGATGGCAGATTTCATCTCTCGTCACCTTCACATGCTTCTTCTCTCCTCTGCACATCCCGTTCGTCTTGATGAGAGATCAGTTCTTCACTGATCATACACATTCGCACTTCGACATCTTCCTCGGTCAACCCTCTCTCTTCCGCACACCGTCAGTCCTGACGTGTACTTTGCGTTCACAGCATACCTGCAGGGGGTTGGGATGTTCTTGCTAGTCGAGAAGTTCAGGAGGAGGGACGAGATTGAGCGCGACATCTTTTCAGAGGCGTTTCAGGTGGAGACGCAGCACCAGAGTCAGATGCACCACCTGCGAGATCTGAGCAGGGATGACTTGTGGATGAAGACAAACAATATCGAACATGCAGGGAGGCGGAAGAAACGCGAGTAGGTGGGCAGAGTGTCGCTTTGTGGGAATATAAACTTGATTCACTGAATTCAGCACATATATGTGAGAATGTCACGTCTGATGTATAAAACACTGCCTGGATGCCTTGCAAGAAGAGCGCCCGCAAACACGATGCCACGTTTGTCGTCGATTTGAGAATAGATCGTCATCTCATGATGACTTGCAATAATCGGAACACCTCTACTTGCGACATGAAGAACTCCAACGGGTTGTCGTCTTCCGCATGGTTCTCCTCCGAACCCTTCTTCCCCGTCGGGTGTGGGAGGGAAGCAACAGGTGACGGCAGTAGCTGTGTGCTTGCTGCCAATGCCATGCCCAGGTCAAACAAAACTTGCTTCTCCTCCTTCCCATCCAGTTCCCCATCTCTGCCCTCACTGGATCCAGCCTCTTCAGTGGATCCCCTGCGAGCTCCCAGGTGGATCGCTGACCGTTCACGATCAACCCCTTCGTCCTCAGCCTGCAGGCTAGCATGCTCGGGCTCCGCTGAAACTTCCCCTGCGGATGTTGTGTGCTGATCATTATTAAGGTTGTCGTCACCGCTGCCCTCCACGTATTTGTGGCCATTGCCCTCCACGTATTTGTGGCCGTTGCACAGCAAGACTCTGAGAGTCTCGTCGTTCAGTTCAACAAGTTTCTGCCTGTGAGAAGTTTCGACGGGATTGAACTTCGAGCCCTCAGTGACATCCCTGTTGGATTTTTTCATCTCCTGCTCCTTGTCTTCTGTCTGCAAAGAGTTCCCCTTGTTGTCCTCGTACTTTTCTTCCATAGGTGGAATCGTTTCATCTGCAGTTAACGGTTGTATTACCGGTGATGCGTCTGGTGTGTCGTACTCAGATTCTGAATTATCTTCAAGCTCCTTGTGATTCGTCTGTCCGACTTGCTCTACCACAGGAGCAATTGGCTGACTGTTGACCAACTCATCGTTCTCTCGCTTCACATCAACGCAATAAGCCCTTGGAATGTATTGCACAAACTTGGGATTTTTGCGACCTTCGACGTCAAGTTCTCCACCAAATGCGATTTCAATCTCACTGATGTCAAAGCGTTTCAGAAGCTCTGCCTTGTAGTCTCCCCGCAGAGGGCAGATCTTATCCTCGATGTCAGGTTGAAGAGTCGAAAGAATAGGTTTCAACAGCGTGTCCCAGAAAAGCTGAACAAACCAATTGACAGGGAAGACATACAAGGCCTTCCTGACTTTGGGGTAATTCTGTGTCAACACAGCCTGGAGCTTAACGGACATTTCATGATCCATGTTGCTGTATCCCACGTGCGACAGATCCACTGCTATGTTGAACCTCCCATTCGGATAGTCCGGCATGGCCCTCAAGCCGCGCTCGATTTGAAAGACGAGGAATCTCACGAAACGGTCAGCGCTTTGCCGTTTGGCATCATGCTTCCGCAAGAGCCAGGTGAGAGTAGGAACACCCTCCAGATCCTTCCCTGCCCAGTAGATTTCATTCAGCTCGAGCATGTCCGAGAAGTCCTCTTCGACAATTGCGTCCAGCTGATATTCTTCGCGCCATTTCAAGTGCTTGACAAACTGGTGCAAGGCCTTGTCCACATTGCCTTTGTTCGCAGCAAGAAATCTCCTGATCGCTTTCTCGTTCACGATCAAGTCTCCATATCTCATTACATCCTCGTCGCCACCCACCGCCAAGTCGATCAACTTTTCACTGGATTCATGCCTCAATGCTCGAAGACGGCAGAGAAAGAAAAGTTCACCTGATTTGTCTCCATCCATCGAGGTGAGCATCTTCTTTGATTGGATTCGATTGGATTTGTCTTGGAGACGAGCCATTCGACTGCATTTCCGTCAGACGTCCCACGAACGGGATCTACAGTGGTAACATACCTGGGCAACCGTTGTAGCGACCGAGTGCATTGAAAGTTCTCTATCCAACGTTTCTTCAGAGTCCTCTAGCATCCAAAAAAACTGTGCGTGTAGAAAAGGCTCTTCACGACAACAACGCTCTTGAGAAACGGACTGTTTTGTAGCTTCTTACCAGCACCAAATGTACAGTGCCCTGAGTAGAAGACAAAAGTACTTCAGACAAAAAAACATGTTTCACAAGACGCCATGGAGAGTAAAAGACACAAACAGAAGATAATCATGGTGCTGATAATACATGTTGAAGAGTGTATCATCTCCAAACTTGTTGAACAACGTGAACACGTCAGTACGATGGCTGGGCAATGGAAACAGGATCGACAGGAGGCAATTATACAAGAGAAGAGAACAAACAACACAATCCAACAGACATAGCCAACTTCTTTCATCTCGCATATCATCTTTCTCATATCCCAACCTTGCAAGCTTCCAGTTCCCTCCGACTCGGTCACTCGGCTTGCGCCATACGCGCTGAAACCCGCACGTCTGTCCACACCCTCACCTACCGGATCAAAGATTCACCCCTACCCCCTCGATATCTTCTACCCACCCCTCATTCCCTAATTTTGCTCTAGCACGAATGTGAGACTACCCCATTATCCTTGAAATGAATTGCCACCCCCACCCCAAATATAGTACCCCACCTGGTTTATGGTACAAGCTGTCCCTCACACCGTCCGGTAGAAAATGCCCACCCCAACCCCATCGAGAAATAGACCCCACCCTACCCCGCCTTAAAGCACCCGTCCCACTGTCATCCCCGCTGAACAGTCATGTTTGAGATTATGAAATGTACTGGTAAACCTTGAAAAAATAATTTGTGCTACAAATGACCCGTTCTACCCAGGAAATCTTCTATGCTTCGTACTAATGCTGATCTAATACAGTATCAAGCTTCGACGAAAGAGAAAAACACTTTTCAAATCATCTGCCCCACGTTCAAAATTTCACATTGAAGGTTATTGATGCGTACCCCTACCCAACCCCCAGTATCCAACACACTTTGGGGTGGGGGGGGGGGGGGGGGGGGTGATGCATGTTGAAGAGGGTGGAGAGCTTTAGAGGTGGATCACATGGGGTAGTCCTTCATAGTCGTTGGGATACACAGTAAAGGGTGGGTACTAGAGGAACCTGGGTAGGCAAGAGATGCACCCCTGTAAGCGTCTGAATGGACCTGGTTATGTACCTTGCAAAGTCATCGAAAGGTACCGGGTGATAAAGATATACGGGGGGTGGCATTCACAATTTTTGTTTTTTGAAGGGTAGGGGTACATGAAGCATTGAGCAAGAGGGGGTGGTATTTACGAGGGGGGTGTTCATCAGCATGTGACCTTTCGAGTCTGATGAGCCTGAGGAGGACCCCCGACGTAATCCGTCCTCAGTCAGTACCAGTGTCACGCGGCCGGTGCGGCGGCGGCCCGCAGTGGTGCCGGCCGGCCGGTCCGATCCGCCGGAAACCTGCCAGGCTGGGCGGCCCGGCAGGCGCCCGGCCCTGGCGGCGGCGAATCGGAAAGAGTCGCGGGGGCCGGGTCACACACACTCCGAGGCTCGACGGAAAAGCGGCACTCCGAGTGACTGAGCGGCAACTGTCACACTATGGGAGACGGTAGCGGGCCCGGGGCCGCCGGGCGGGCAGGCTCCGGGGGCCCAGCCCCCAGTGACCCCTGGTTTGGTTCGCAGTCGGTGGCCACTGAGTGCGACAGCGACGGTGTCAGGGCCCGGGGTCAAGCCTCTTTGACATGACTCTCCTGATTGTCCTCGTACTGATTTTTAACACTTAACTTTGCGTAAAGCCCCCGGGTACGACGCCGGGTAGTAACCACGTGTGACTGTCGGACGGTCGCACCCCCCGGTGGCCCCCGGCGGCCCCCGGCCCGTCCCGCCGGGCCGGCCGCTGGCCCGTCCGAGGCCGCAGGCTCACAGGCTGGCAGGCCCTCCCCGGAGTCATTTTACTACAGCGGCGGCTTCAATTTGGCGACCAGAGCTCAAAGTTTTACTCAACGTTCAAGATGGAGTAAACTTTTCCCTCCGAGACGCAACACACCCTACCCCAAGAATCATGACATGTGACCCCACCCCTTGAGTTCCACTCGTCAATTGGAGTATACACCCTGTACCAGATAACCCCTACCCCCTCCATCTAGCTGTACACTCTTCGTCAGGTAACACCCTCCCTCCCCTCTGTGTACAAAGAAATGAAACCAGGTGAGGGAGCGAAGGGGGAGAGAAGGAATGGCAGAACAATGGTAGGGAACGAGGAGATGGAATCAGAGGAAGGAGGGAAGGAGGAGGGGGGAGGAGGGGGAGGGAGGAGGAGGGAGGAGGGAGGAGGAGGGAGGAGGAGGGAGGAGGAGGGAGGAGGGAAGGAAGAAGCAAACAGTAGCGAGGTTAGGAAAAAACTATCGATGTAAAAACAAATAAAATACACTAGGACACATGAATTTGAGCCAAATAGGTGTGTACGATCGCGACTCAGAAATGATACAAAATGAACTAGAAGCGAAAGAAGCAAAC